TCGCAGGTGAGCGCCGTCGCCTGCGTCGTTTCATCTACGTCGATGAGATAGGCCAACATAGAGCGCCCACTCAGAAAGCCTCGTTGCTCTGCTGAGATATCTTCAGCGAACAAGGGCTCGAGGCGGTGTCGAACCGAGCTGGCCAAGAGTATGTTGTCTGCGGTGACCAGGCTCAGCGGCCGCGTGTCGGCTGGCGCAAACTGCGCGGTGCCGTCGTCGCTCTCAGAGGCGGGTGTCTTCGGGAGAAACGCCATGAGGCTGTCGTTGTACCTGGGGTAATCACGCTGGATTGCTTCCTCCGCACCGGGGCTAGACAGCTGCTCGTGCACCGCGAAGAGGACGTCGACTGCGCTCGAGGGCAGCTCGCACGTCACGCGGACGCACTTGCCGCGCGGGGTCGTCCGCCGCTAGAAGCCGCAAGCCCCCGCGCGCCACGCGCGTGCGCCGCTTTGCGCCGAGCCAGCGTCTGCGCAGAGACCTGCTGAGCGGCTTCGCCTTGAAGACCTTGCTCCAATGGTCGCGGAGAGCCTGGGCCATGGCAGCGGGTCGGCGCGGACAGTGCCCGCAGGGTCCATGACTGCCTGGATTGACTGGCAGCGCCCAGGAGCGAGCCTCGATATGAGGCGCCAGTTGCGGCCCCGCCGCACAGCCGTCTCCCTGGCGTCCAGCGAGGGAAGATCGTCGCTGAAGCGCTGGAGCTCCTCTACCGCACGCTCCCGAGCAAGCTCGACGGCATGGCTGCGCACTGCCTGCAAGCGCCCCGCCTGTCTCAGCTCTGGGGAGTGCGGGTTGCCCGCGAGTTTGGCCAACTCGGGGCACCGCTCAATGCATTTGCTGATGCGCCCCTTATGCCCGCCCTCGACTGCCCTGAGGAACTGCGTGGTGAGGCCAACCTTGTCCTCGTTTGCCTCAGCGGGGCGTCCTGTTTGCAGCTCGCGCGAAATGCCCTCAGCCACCTGGCGGGTGGCATCTTTCAGCAGCGACAGCCTGAGGAGGGGTGCTGCGGTGGGCTCGACGGTCTCTCGAGACTCGTTGTATGCCAACGTGACCCTGTGCAAAAAAATCCCATGCTGGACTGCAGCTGCCGTGACTGGGCGGGGTGCCGAATGCACCCTGGAGGGCAACCAGCGGCCTGCTGCGACCGCGCGGTGGCGCGACAGCTCTGGCTGCTAATTATTCCAGCGCCGCTGCAAACAGATCCCGGTCGAGTTGTTCCGACAAGTCTTGATTCCAACGGAACCAGTCGAGCCGCGATCGCGCACTGCCACTGCGATATGTCGTCGCTGGCTGGTGTAGCTCGTGCAGGTTAAACGGTTGGAGGGCGACCTGTCGCCAATGGCGCTCTTCGGCGCGATCCCTCGATCCGGAGGCAGAGCCGGTCCTGCGGGCGACGCGGTCGGCATCCTCTGTGACCCATTTGAAGTCTCCTGCGATCACGGTGAGGGCGGCGGTCGCTTGCTGGAGTGCGAGCGCAATCCGGCGTCGGAAAGCTGCCCGCTGCTGCGGCAGGGAGCCGCTCTGAGCAGGGGGGCCCATCGCGTCGGCCTCAGAGCCGCTCCCTTGGGGGCGCGAGGCCACCACGAGGTCCAAGTGCCCCTGGGGGCCGCCGAGCCGCAACACCGCCCACCACCCCAACCATGCTTGCGGCCAACGCAATGTTTCCGGAGCGCCTGGGGCACCGTGCGTCTTGGTCAGGAGCACGGCGTCGTGGGCCCCGGCGAACCCGGCGAAGCGACGGACGCATTGCGTTTTCCGTCGGAACCTCTGGGGATCTGAGGCAAACAATGCCCCGGCATTCCATGTAGCCACAGAGAGCGAAACCCGGAACTGGCCTCCCACATGCGGCGCAGCTGCTGCCAGCGGCGGCGGCGGCGACGGCATGGGCGGCGGAAGGGGCAGCGCCGGTGCTGTGCCCGCTGGCGCCGTGGGAGGCGAGAACCCCAGCGCAGCTCACAGTCGCGCCCTGGCGCGGAGCGAGTGCGGTACATCATCAAGAGCCCCATTGCGGAGATCAGCGTCACAATCTGCATCGCGAAGGTGTGGAAGAAGAGGAGGGAGAAAAAGTGTTTGAAAAGGAACTGTTTGTCCTGGATCGTCATTGCCATCGCAATCCTTGCCCGTTGAGACGGGCGCGATCTCGAAGACAAGATCAATCAGGAACGACATGCGCCACAGGCGTGAGATCGCCTGAATTCCCGCGCTGCCTGCCCCATCAGCGCGGCGTGGCTCCCGAACTAGTGCCCCGCGGAGGCGGGCTGTCGGGCCCCCCGCCTCCGCCGCTCGTTTCCTTCCTTGGGCAAGACTTGAGCCGCTTGAGCCACCTCCCTCCCCTGCCCCCCCCTGCCCCCTCGCTTCTCGCCCGTGGCCCCGCCGCGGATTGCCTCGGTCCTCGCGCGCGAGGCCCCCCCGCGCCAGGAGCCGCGGTGAACTGCCGCCGGCCCACCCGCTTTGCGCAGGCGGGCTAATTAGAACTTTTTTCGTCGGCGGAGAGGCGGGGCAATCCGCTCGAGCGTGGCAGCGATGCAAGGGCACTACAAAGCTCATTGGCTGGCATGTTGGAGGAGGGAGGCAGAAGGACAGGGCGGCCGCGGAAGGGAAGACTTCCGCGTGCAGCGATGTTCGCGCTTCGTGCTGCGCGAAGCGCAAACAACTCCGCGCTGTCGAGCCGCCCGCCCCCCGCCCCGGGGGAGAAGAGGTGCTGGAGCAGAATGGGGATGACGAGTCGCGAATCGCGAATAATTCCGCGCCCTCGTCGCGGCCTAAGGACTAAGGAACAGCTCTCCCAGAGCAGCCCCGCGCTTCCCCTTCATGGGGATGGGTGGAGGGGGATGGGCATGCCCCCTTCGCCACACGTCTCTCACGACCTGGCCACTGGAATCGGAAGCGTCGCGCGTAGGCGAAGTCGTAGACCTGCAGCGTGAGACCTCCTATCGAGCCTTTGGTGAGCCCTCTCGGTGACGGTTCCCTCCGGGCCAGAAGGCGCTGGCGCGAATCGTGACGTGACCAGCGCTCCCCCCCTCTCCCCCCCGCTATCGCCAGGGGATAACAAGGACTGGCTCCAGCCTGCCAACAGGGGTCCAGCAGCGGATCGACTACAGGATTGATTTACGCCGAAATAATTGTTCGTCGAACTCACGATAAAAGAAAAAACGACGTCTTTCTTGTAGGTTAGAGGAGGGACACAATTTAAGGGTATGTCGACTCTGTAATCGATCACCTACTCCAAGAGGAGGGTTCTATCTACAGGTAAGCGTCGACCTGGAATCGGGGATTGATCCGAAGCCGAAGGCCTCCCGAGCCCTCTGAGGCCGAATACCCGCCATCCCCTGCCTGTTAGGGAGCAGCGATAGGGGGGAGCGGTTAAGAGGGAAACATCGAGCTGTAATCGGCGATACAACACCGATAGATCGGCGATAGAGACCCCGAACCGACACCAGACTGTCCTGGGCGGCTTCGGCTAATCATCGGGCCCCTGTCGGCGACCAATGGGTCCACGCATCCCCCTGAACCTATCCACCTTTAACGTTCCCTCCTGGCTGTTAGTTCATGACTCGGCTCTCTGGCGGCCTTTCGAGACGATCCGGACACCCCTGGAACGCTCCCTGCAAGGCGCAGTCGCTGGAGAGCAGCCCGAGGCAGTAACACCTCCCCGAATGGATGAAAACGTATGAAATACGCCCCCTCTGAGCTCCGGCGTTGTGAAAAAGTACAACATCGCGAAAAATCACGACCAGACCCCTCGACCCCCTTTCTGCTGCATGTCTCTAGCGGGATCAAGCCGCGAGGGTCCGGGAGCCGAGACGAGGCAGAAGCGCCCGCTTGGGGTCGGCGGAACGGCGTGAGCCTCCTCATCGTCAACTCTACCTCCCATTGCTGCTCTGCCTGGCCGGCTGTTCTTTGTCGGTCCGTCCCCTGGTCCGAATAAGAACTGCGGTGGCCTGCGCTGCCACGCTGGCGAATAGCCGGGCGTGGGACTTGATCAGGGCGACCTCCATTCGCCCAGAGGCTGTTGCAATCGTTCCCGGATGACACTCGGCGGCGAGCGAGGGGGGAGGATGAGAAGAAGAAGGCCTTCTCGGCAGGCGGCGGGACTTCTCAGAAGCTATCGCACCCTAACAGAAATTTCCTGTCTTCGGGGAAGGCTTCGAACACTCCACAGGAGGCCAGGGGACTTCCGAGCCATCTGAGAAGGCCCGCGACTTCTTGGAAGCCTGGTGGTTTTTGGCTCATAGCTCGGCTCTCCAGCGGCCGTTGGGGACGATCTGGGCACCCCTGGAACGCCTTCGGCGAGGCGCAGCCGCTGGAAAGCATCCCGAGGCTGGAAAACAGCAGAGGGCCTGCGAAAGCGTCAGGGAAAAACAACTCGAACCTCTAGCCTGGTAAGACTCGAGCCGAACAACTCGAACCTTCCCACTCCCCTCGCTCGCCGCCGAGACATGGGACCGGCACCACCACTTCTCGAACCGGCCTCGAACTCATCCCTATCCCTAGGATGGGCGAGCAAAACGCGAGGACAGTCTTAGGGATGTGCCCTCAGAAACCGAGGGAATTCTTCGGATCGGCCTCGAGGCGAGGCGATGCCAAACACAGGGACCGGGAGATGTCTCGAACTGATGGCCGCCGCCTGCCCGCCCGCGGCCCCAGCGGCCCTAGCGACGGGGGGGGGGGGCGGGGCCCGCCGCCTGCCCGCGGGGGGCGAACGCGCCGTGCTGGCGCTGCCGAGGGGGGCGGGGCCCGCGGCCCGCTGCCCGCCGACGTAGGCAGAGCGCTTTCGTCGTGGGATGCGGAGTTCCCCCCCCCCCCCCACCGCATCCCCCTCCTCTTCCTCCTCTGTATCTCCTCCTCCTCCTCCTCCGCCTCCTCCTCCTCCTCCGCCTCCTCCTCCTCCTCCTCCTCCTCCTCCTCCTCCTCCTCCTACGCCTCCTCCGATCCGCATCGCGGGACGGATCCAAGTCGCCGACGACGGGGGGCGGGGCCCGCCGCCGCCCGCTGCCCGCGCCCGCTGCCCTGCCGAGGGGGGCGGGGCCCGCCGCCGCCGCGGGGGTGCGGCGCGCCGTGATGGCGCTGCCGACGGTGGTGTTCGTAACCGGCAGGGCCTTCAGGCCATCCACCAGGATGTGGGTCAGGACCTCTCGCGGTCGGCAGGATGACCCCCGAGTCGAGTCGGGGCATCGAGTCGGCCATGGGATCGCATCGAATCGGCAGGCATCGGCAGGCAGATCGGCGTCCAAGGGCCCAAGCCGAAGCATGCACGAGGAACTCCAAACCGACGTCGGACTCCAGCGTCGAACCGGATGGGCATCGGAATCCTCGAAACCGAATCGATTTCAAGCGGCAAATTCGAAATGGCTCTTGGGCACGGGACAGGCTCCGTGTTCGACCATGGACCCCGTGCTGCCTGGCGGCCTGTTCGGCGGCCTCCTTGGCGAACGTTGGTGCTGGCTGCGTTGACCGAGGGGCCCATGACCGAACACCCGAACCACGGAATGGTCGCCCAGATGGCCGGCCGCAGGCTTCCTGTCTTCCTCCCTTCGCCTCACTCGGATCTTCCTGCTCCTCCTGCTCCTGATGCGCAGTGGACACACACGATTAGACATCGAACTAACCTGAAGACATCCATGGGCATGTTCGTGATCCAAAAATCTTCCCAAACGGTCCCAGCACGTCCGTGGGCCTCGGGAGACAAAACATGTTCAAGGGGCAACTGCTGACAGGCTAGATTATTCAATGATGTGGCCACGGCGGCCACATTTCGTCGGGCTGGTGACAACGGGGTGTGGCCAGAATCTGGGGGCGAAGATAGCGGCATGAAAAAATGCCCTTTTCTTCACCCCCCCAATCAAGGCACCTCCCATCACCACCCGCCCGAGCCACCTATTTGCCGCCATGGCGCCGTGAGAGCTCACGGCGGCGCCTGGGCCAACGAAAAAGGCAACGAACCGTCGCCCACACGCCCACGGACCCGCGACACGTCGGAGGCGGCGCCTGGACTGCAGAAGGAAGCGGCGGAAGGTCGCCCACGCGCCTCCATGTTGCTGGCGCCGCCACCGCTGCTGCCGCGCGCGCGCACGCGAGCAACCAGAACGACCATTGCCAAACCAGGCTAAAATACCCCTTCCCCGCGGAGAGGGGGAGGGGCGAGGTGCCAGAATACAACCACCCGCAAGGGGGCGAACCAGGTTTGACTGCACAACCTGATCCTGGGCCCAGGCTTGGACTCCGCCCTGAACAAAGTCGTGTCCGCCACGTTCCCTGCTACGGCTTACTGATGAACTAGTGTACCCTACTCACCTAGTCGCAACGCTATGTGCTAACACCCCCCCTCGGCCAGTTTTGGCCGAGAGAAGCGGCGGGGGAGAGAACTGGATGAGAGGCACCTCTGGATATGACTGACTGGTCAGTGGCCGAATCTCCAAACCAGCACGGCAAGCGAAGGTGAATCCCGAAGCATACGCATACTGGAACAGTAAAAAAACAGAACTGGTGCAAGCAAAGGGCGACTATGAGTCGGGCGTGAACGTGCCGGGTTCCCTGAAAACGCGATCACCAGGTCATGGCGTCATAAGCACATGGTCACGCAACGTGACTGTCATGTGCTGTGGCATAATATGGACATCGCGCGCGGGCACCTGGATCCTAACTGATCCTGAGCTCAATTCTCTAGTAACGCGGCGCGCGATGATAAACCGGATGCGGATTTACGTAACACTCCGTGGCGGAAGCCAGCCCGTACCTTCCGCTCGCAAGGTGTTGGTTAATACTTACCTAGAATATAAATGGGCATGCTGTCATTGCTCAGAGACTTAGTTAAAGCATCTGCGAGCTCCCCATGGGGCCCACCTCTGATCACTTTTTATGTCCCCTCGTGACACTGTCTCTTGCAACCGAAATTGACAGACTTTGTTGTTTCTGACCTGTGTCTGGCCGTTCCTAAAAAGCGCCTGTTCGCAGTGGCAGCGGCTGCAATCGCATTGCTCTTGTACGAGATGCCGCCATCAATCTCGAAGTCCTTCAAAGACGCTGGAAACCGTCGTGTAAGCCATTCCGTAGGATTCTGTTCCTCCACAAGACAGGGCCACGAAACTCTGAGCCGAACTCCGTCACTTGACCAAGTGTGCGACCCCCTGTCAAGTCGGTCGCTGTCCTTACAGTTCACTCCGGAAGTCATTCTTGATGCCAATGCGATTGCCAACGCCAGTCGTGGTTCTTAAGGCACATGCCGAATTTACTGAAATTGCCCAGGCTCCTCGGGTCGGGGCTGACATCGGGCGCGCAAGCCCCTTAAATTGCACGTCCAAGCGGTCCTGCGCGAGATAGCTTGCCCGGGCCACTAAGGCTTACCACTTCTCAACCTCGTGACTTTCGAGGATATCCTCGTCCTTTCCTCGCAATGTTTCTCTTCGCCTGGATAATCGCATATTGTCTTTTTTTGCCCCAGGCCTAATTCCTGGACGGATGCCACCGCGTGCCTTTGATCCGCGTCACGCCGTGGCCCACCCTGGTTCAATTCCACATTTCGGTTGCGGATCCTGATCGGCATCAGATCTGCCGGTCCAGGTCGGGGTCTGCCTCGGGTTCAAAGCTTCGAACCTCGCACTGGTTTCAATTTCGAACCAGTTAAGGACAACTCGATTGCCCAGTGAGGTAAAATCATCCCCACGCACCGTTCGCCAGATTCGCTTTGTTTTATGGCCCCCTGGTAACCCTTGAACTCTTTGTATTCTTCTGTGTCCGCCCCCTTGTCATCTACTTGCGCCAGTCTGCGCGCCGTGCGCTCGGGCCCTTTGACATGGCCCCTTTTTCCGCATTCGAACTTCGTGCGCGATGCCGTTCTCGGCCAAATCCCCCGCGGCCTAAGGCCGCCAATTGCCGACCCGACCTCGTCGCATTACTCCGCGTCGTGTCCATTGGCCTCCAAGTTTCTACTGTCGCCATCTATGACCTGGCCAACGTCTATAGCAGCGATGTTCTTCGCGTCGGCGACTCGCCTGTTCTCCGTTGCCCAGCCCGCGCGCTTGACGAAGCGTTCGCGGCATGTGTCAACGCTCAACGACCCTGGGAATTCAATGTAGCCCTGCTGCCAGTCACCAATTCAATCGCCGGCGTGGGCCACCATTATTCTCAAGACTGCAGCCCTGATCGGGAGCGGTAACGGTAACGAATGGGCAGACCCATACTTTCCAATGGTTCTACTCGCGCACTCCATTGTTCAAGCTGCACGGCCATCTCACTAATTCTCTTCGGCGCGTTGGGGTTCAGGGCCAAGTTCTTCTTGTGAAGAAAGTAACTCACCCTAGTGAGCGCAGAGTACCACTAATACATTTTCTGATCGGCCATCAAACCATCGCCTGCATGCAGGCCCTTAAGCACCCCCCGGGGCCCTTTTCTTTTCAATTTGTCGTTTAACACATGCCAGAGGTCGTCCAGCTCGGAAAACCATCTTTATTCAATTCAGATTTTCCCTTTGGCCGTATTCCCTCACCTTGATGTCTGACGATTTGGCGTACTCGTTCGGTGGCGCGAACTCAATCAGGTCGTCCTTTTCGTCATCACGTATGGCCCCATCCATGCTTACGAGCTCGTTGCGTAAACTCTTGAGTGTTTTCCGAAAGCCGTGTCTCACTTGGGCGAACGATTCGATGAGTTTGGTCCTGTCACCAGAGAGCGTCTGCAACTGTTGATCAGCCTTGTGTTAACTCACGGGCTTTTTTCCACCTTCGCCAGCCCTGCCGTTTCCTGCGTAATGTTTTGCGTCAACGATCTTGGTAACAGGCTGCAACGTGTCCGCTTGATGTTGAAATTCTGTCCCCGCGTACTCTTTTAAGCTTCCGAATTGTTCCTCGCAGTACAGGTTGCGGTTCATGACTGAGGGCATCCATGTTGCAGCTCATCTGCAGCATCGTGAATGCTTCGTCGTTGCCCGCAGTCCTGGTGCACTAATGTTTGGCACTGCGCTCGGAGAAAGAATGATGATTTCACGATCGGCTGCATTGCGCAGCTCTGCTAACCAACTCGTGCCCAAGTTGTACCAAGTTTCGCGAACTTCGAACAACGATACATCAGAACCCGGATCGTTGTTTCTGGGGTTCGCGGGGGCAGCTGCAGCTGCCGCCACCGCCATTTCTGCTCCGGAGCATGTGGGGCGAGAGACGGGGCCCGCTAGCATTAAGATCTTGCTGGGGGTTGTTCACAAGAACGCGATCGCACTTGAGCCAAGCGGCGTTGGTCGACGCACGCCGGGCGGTCTTAACCAGCTCGTGTTCCGTGCTATGCCGGAATGCTGAACAACTGCACCCGTCTCACCCACTCGTAACGCTATGTGCTAAAAAATCATGCTCTTCCCCCTCCTCATTCCCGCCTTTTCCTCCTCCTCCTCCTCCTCCTCCTCCTCCCTCCTCCTCCTCCCCCCCCCCTCTGCCGTTGGATCGGGCCTCCCCGTTGCAATGCTCGGCGTGGTAGAAGATGAACCTCCGCTGGGCCGGCCGTGCCCGCCGCGGCTGTATTGGGTAATTAGGGGCCCGCGGGTTCGATCCAGGCGTCGAACAAAGATCGGCTGCGCGCCCAGGCAAAAAAAGACAATAACAAGCACGAGGAGGAGGAGGGAAAGTGGGTCGAGGTCGAGAATGTGTCGCTTCCGCGCTTTCCTGAGAACCCGTCTTCGTTGTCAGAGACGGCATATACAAAACAACTTCTCGGAAGGCTGGAGACCTCCTAGGGCCTTCTGGAAAGGTCCGGCCCGTCTGCCTTGTCCCCAGGGGTCCCAGGAGATCCAACTCACGAAGGCCAGAAAGTTGAGCCCAGAAGTGCTAGCAAGGCAAAACGAGTGCCAGATCCACGTACTGGCCACAGAGTGGGCTCGAGAGCGCACTACTCACAACGTCTCACTGGTAGAAGAGGGAAGGAGGAAGAGGAGGAGGAGGAGGAGCAAGAGGGAGGGGGGAGAGGCCTTTGCGCATTCTACCTGGGCGAATGTGGCCATGTCGCCACACCGCCCCACTTCACCAACCTTTCGGGAAAACCACCGCCGCGCAAGGCTCTAACCTCCCCCGCGCTCGGTGGACCCCCCCAGGCGGCCCCCAGTCCCAAGTTCTGGAAAACCTACGCCTGCTCTGTAGGTGAGGTTCCCCGTCGTTGGACTGGGGGACGCCTGTGGGGGTACTTGTGAACACAATGAACCCCCGAACTGAACCGCGAACCGCAAAACCGAACCCATCGACCGAGAACCGACGGAACCGGAACCCGCCATCAACCCGACGTGAACCGGAACCAAAACGAACCGGAGGCGGTGGAACCGACCCGGGCCCGAACCGGGAAACGAACCGAGAACCGGTCGTGGAGGTGCCTCCCGGTGCCTCAGGTGAGTGCTCACTCTTGCGCCAAATCCATCCCGCCCTCTCCCACCTCCTCCCTGGCCCCCTGGCCCTTCCCCTCTCCCACCTCCTCTCTGGCCCCCTGTCCCCCCCCTCATGGGCAGTCCCTGGGGCAGTGGGTGTCTCGAACTTCTGGGGGCCCTTGCCAGGTTCTCCGCAGCGGCCTCTCTTGAGTTCCTCAAGCCTCAAGCAACGCAGAGCAATGCCATGCATTGCCAAGCAGCGCAAAGCAATGCAAACCAATGCGAGCAGCGGCGAGTCTCTCGCAGAGACTCGAGCCCCTAAGGCGGCGACAGTGCGGCGCTACGGGGGGCGCGAGGCTCCCAGGCTTCCTCTCGGAGTCGCAGAGCCCCGGGGCGGCGCGGGGCAGCCGCCGGGGCCGCTGCGTCCATGGATCGATTTTGGCAGCCAGCCGAACTGTTGCTTAACCTGCGGGTCCCCGCGCTGGTAACAACCCTGACACCTGCGAGACCCAACTTGCCGCAGCCCGAGGAACTGCAATTTTCATTGGCTGCCCGAGGCGCGCCCGATCCACCCCCGGGACAATCCCAGGGAAACGCGCGCCGCGGGCCCGCGCCACCCTCGCCCGGGCCACGCCCCGACGACGACGCCGCCCCGCCCGCCCGCCCGCCCGCCCGCACGCCGCACTCCTCTTTCTCCTCCCTCTCCTGATCCCCCCTCCCCCCAAGCGTTCTCATAAGGGTTTCCACGACGGCTGGGGGAGCCCGCAGTCCAATAGCTCGGCCCTTCCGTGCCCCAACGTTTGGCCACCCAGGTGTTTCCAAATGCAGGGGGCGGCGGTGGTTCGCCGCAGGCGTCTTAGATGAAACCGCACGCGTGCAAACAAATCACCGTAAATGCTCACACCTCGACGCGCGTGCTGAAGGATAATACTTTGCTGCTCGGGGAAAGAGAAGCCACCAATGTGACGCAAGGTTGCAGCTGCGGTGGCGCCGACCAGAAATCTATGTTTCGCGGCCCGGGAAATTGTTTTTCGTGCCGCCCAAACCACCAGAGCCAAGACTAATTACCCTCGAGCGGCCTCCGAATCCTGAGCACACTGGATACGATCAAGCTCCAAAAATCACTTCCCCAAAGCCCTTATCAGGGGGCGCCGGGCCGCCTGGGACTTTATGTTTCGAGGTCGCCCCAAAGAAAACCCAGTCGTAAACTGAACCTTTTCGGGGGTGCGTCGGGGCAGCGTTTCCCTGCCCCCGTGCCGGCCTCCAGGACGATATCTTCTAGCGCCAATTGCTATAGGCTGCTCTTTGGGCGGCTGTCAACCACATCGACGTCGACTCAATCGCGCTCCCGTTCGCCCGCAACCAGAAGAAAACCTTGGCACCGATGAAATCGAACTGGCTGCAGCAGAACATCTCCGCGAAAGCATTGTTGAACGCAATTGCGATACCCTCGATCGCGCCAGTCGTGGCGGTGTAGGCAGGAGTTCCAAGCCGTTCACGATGGCGCTGCCAATGGCCTCTCGCGTCATCCCCAGGAAGAAAGCTCGGGTCATGTATGGGCTGATCCGTGTCGAGCCCTTTTTTCTCACGCGCGCGTTGAGATGAGCCACAGACGCCGTGGCCACGGCGAGCTGGCGGGAACCGCCCGCGTGAATCCATGCAGACAGTCTGTCGGGGATCTATCGACCCAGGTCAATCCAAACCCAGGTCAGTCGGGCTTTGCAAAATCCTGCAAGATCCTGCAAAATCCTGTACGCTGGCCTGGGTCAGTGCAACCTGGGCGTTGCAGGATCCTGCAAGATCCGGCGCTCGGGCTGATCCCCGTTTGCATTGACCCCCGTCTCAAAGCTCCCGAGTCTCAAGGTTTCTCTGAGTCCCGGAAGCAGCGGGATGCACCTCGTTGTTCGTGCTTGCCCAGCACAAGACGGCCTCTCACGACCTCGTCGCGAACGCCGCCATGAGGGAGCGCCGCGCCAAGGAGGGCGGAGAGAAGGCTGCTGTGGAAGAATGGGGAGAAGTTCCGAGAAGGAGGGTATCAGGAGGAATGCTGAGCAGAAGAAGGAGGGCTGAGGCTAGGGAGGGGGGAGGCCGAGGAGGGCTGAGGTGGCAGGTCTACGAATAGATTCCTCTGATGGTCCGAGAGGGTGAGGAGGGAGGGCGATAAGGACTTAGGTGGCCTGGGGGCGGTTCTTCGGGCAGCCTGGGGGCGGTGACGCCAACTCGGCCGGCCAGCCGTAATGCGGCGCCTTGTGCTCGGACGGCCCGGATGCGGTGACGTTTACTCGGCTGGCCACGCGGCGGTGACGTGCACTCGGCCGGCCACGCAGCGGCCAGAGGCCAGCGCCGACACCCGCACCGGCGCCAGCACCGACGCCAGCACCATACCGACAGCGCTTACGCCGGCACCGGCGCCAGGACGCCAGCACCATACCGACAGCCAGCACCATACCGACAGCACTTACGCCAGCACCGGCGCCATCAGCTGCGCTGGCATCTGTGCCTGCGCCAGGCCGCCCCACTCTGGCGCCTGCACCAGCGCTGGCACCAGCAGCGACGCCAGCACCAGCGCCGGCCCTTCCGCAGGCACCGATACCAGCGCCTCCACAAGCACTGGCGCCACCACCAACGCCAGCATCCACGCCCGTGCCTTCCCCGGCAAGTCCATCAGCGCCGGCGCCAGCAGCGGTGACAGCACCAACGCTGGCGCTTAGCGGGCACCAACGCCAGAACCTACAGGGGCACTCACGTCCGCACCGACGCCAGCAGTAATGCCGGCGCTTACGCCAGCGCCAGCGCCGTCGCCAACGTCGACGCCTGCGCCTACGCCAGCAGCACCAACGTCAGCACCGACGCCTGCATCAGCGCCTGCGCCTACGCCAGCACCAACACCATCGCCTACACCGGCGCCGATGACAGCATGACGCCAGCGCCAGGGCTAGCGCCTACGTCGCCACAAGCGACTGCGCCTTCATCCGCACCGACGCCAGCACGGCCGACAGCCCCAACGCCAGCGCCTACGCCGGCACCGACGCCAGCACCGACGCCAGCACTGGCGCCAGCATCATGTTGGCGCGAACGCCGGCTCGAACGGCTGCGCCTGCACCAGCACGAGCGCCAGCACCGAAGCCAGCACCAGCGCCGGCGTCTACGCCAGCGCCAACGCCAGCTCCGACGCCAGCGTCAACGCCTGCGCCCCCGCCGTCACTAACGCCGTCGCCTGTTCCGAAGCCAGCACCAACGCCAGCACCTTCGCCGGCACCAGCGCCAGCGCCTGCACCAGCACCGACGTCTTCACCACACCGATGCCAGCACTATCGCCGGCGCCTACTACGCTGGCGCCGACGCCAGCATCGACGCCGGCATCACCGCCTGCGCCTACACCGGCACCAACGCCAGCGCATACACCAGCGCCGGCGCCAGTTCCGTAGCAGTCAGCGCCCACGCCAGCACCAGCGCCGGCGCCGGCATCAGCACCGACGGCAACACTGGTGCCAGCACCCGCGCCAGTGCCTGCACCACCCAGCACAGCCGCCAGCACCGACGCCAGGCCAACCGCCGGCGCCAACGCCGGCACCATCGCCAGCGCCTACACGAGCACCACGGCAGCACCGACGCCAGCAGGAATACCAGCGCTTTCGCCAGCGCCGACGTCAGCACCGACGCCAGCACCGACGACATCATCGACGCCATCTCATTCTTGAGCGTGCGAGCGGACCAGGCCGCCAATTGCGGAGCGAGTGGCAGGTGCTGCACGTTCCCGACTGCGACCTGGTGGGCCCGTGACTGGTTCGAGCCGATGGCCGATAGCCTCATGCACGGGACGGTTATGTGGCTATGCATCGGAGCCAGCGCTTGTGCCAGCAGCATCGCCAGCGCCGGGACTTGCGGCTACCACCTGCCCGAGTGGGATGGCGAGCATTCTGGCACGGAACTGCGCTGTGACGTCAAGCAGTGCGACGCCGAGCAGCATGCTGGTGGCCGGCGTGGGGGCGCTCCCAGCCGCGCCTGCTGCCTTGGGGGCCGTGAGCGGGCCTTCCACCTCCTCCCCCGTCTCCTCCTTGTCCTTCCTCCTCCGGGGTTGTTGCTCAGCGCTTTGTTGTTTCACCTGCCTTCTAGTGCCACGCGCTCGGCGCTCGCGGCTTGCCCTCCATTGCATGCTGCGCGCCCGCGGTCGCCGAGGGGTAATCGGTGGGATGGCGACGTCGGCAGGAATGGCCGGTCTCCTGGTTCCCGACGACTGTTTTCTTCCGGACGGGGTTCGATTGCCACTTCCCCCCGTGGAGGGTGGGACGCTCGAGGAAAAAAAAAAGATTCCTATGATGGTCCGAGAGGGTGAGGAGGGAGGGCGATAAGGACTTAGGTGGCGGTGCAGGATGCTGCCCATCAACATGTCACTCACAGTGGAGTCGCACAAAGCATCTCGGGCGGGGCCGCGGGTGCTCGGGCGTTGGCGTGGTGCTGTCTGGGCAGTGCCCCGAGGCAGAGTTGGACACCTGCCGGGGGGGCGGGGGCGAGGCGGAGGCTGGGGGGGCAACCAACGATAGGGGGGCCGGCTCAGGAGGGTTAACATCGGCCTGGAGTGGGTGATACATCACCGATAGATCGGCGACAAGCCCCCGACAACAAATCTGCACGCTCCTGGACGCGGGGCGAGCTATCGGGCCACTATCCGCGATCAATGGGCGATGGGGGGTCGATGCATCCCCCCCGAGACCATCCCCCCAAACGTTGCCCTTGAGATCGAGGGTCGAGGGGGCAGCTTGCTGGATCAAAGTTAGGAGGCAACTCCTGGGCGGTCTTCGTGATAACAACCTAGGACTATTGAGCCTGACTGCAGAGCCATTCAGCTGGATAAGACGGAATGAAGCCTTGGATTAAGCTCAGTTGAGCGGGATCAAGCCCCATTAAGCGGTATCGTGCCAGGCTAAACCAGTTCTCGACCAAGGATCTACCAGCGCCGACGCTGAATCTCACCTCCCAGGAGTTGCATCCCACATCGAGAGTCGATTACGGAGGATCGGGAGGTCGAGGATCGGCGAGAATGGTCGGTGGCCAGGCGCACAGGAATCGAGGGTCGACAAGTTGGAGCACGGGCGGAGGGTACCTGTACGAGGGGGGCAAGACCAGATCGAGGATCGAGGATCGAGGATCGAGGATCGAGGGATTGGAGGCACAGGGATCGAGGATCGAGGATCGACTCGAGGGGGGCAGGTCAGACGCGGTGCCACGAGCCACCGAGTGCAGATTTGGAGGGGCTCGCCCCTGGCCTTTCTCAAGGTCATGGGGACCCTTGGGGACAGGCTGCTCAGGACATCGAAGTGCGAGTGGAAGCGTAATCGAAACGTACATCGACATGCACATCGGACTGCAAGTTTCTCCAATCCGTGATATCACACGAACATGGCTATAGTGGTATGTTGTCCCCATCGTACTTAAGGACCACATCCAAGAACTAATTTCGAGCACCCGCGCCAATATCGAAACAGTGTCGAACGAATATCGCCTCCCAAGGCCCGACACGTGCAAGCCTTCCAGTTTCGGCACTTTCTCGGTTCTGGATGCGTTTCCTGGTGATCAAGGCTAAAGTAGGCTGGAGCATCATAACTCTGAAACTGAAACTCTGCTACTGGTCAGTAATACTCCTTGCGCGACACTTCTGGGTCTCCAGAGGCCCGTGGCTTCCATAGGCCCCCAAATCCTCTGGCCCAGCCGTGGTCAAAACGTCCGAACATCTTGTCCTCGACCTCCGAGCAACTGATCCTCGACCTCCAAGGATCGATCCTCCCCTCATCTATCCTCCTCCTCCGGGGCCCAAGGGGGCTCAACACCCGCCCGGCAGCAGAGGTTCGACCTCTCTTCCGCGGGCAGCCGTTCCATTCCGTTCCCCCCCCTCCGCCTCCTCACCCCTGGTGGACTCATCAGAGGACAGCCGACCTTACACGCGACAGGGCGTCCGCCCGAAGGCAGGTGGCCCCCACTTCCTCACATTCCTGAGTCCGCTCAGCGTCTGCTCTAAGGCCGGATTTCGGTAGCCCCGTTCAGCCCGACCGCTGGTGCAGCAGTGCTGCCTGGCCGCCGACGGAAAATGCTCTCAGGCCGGAGCCTCCCCCGTACAGCTCTGAGGGCTTGGGTTCAGTGGTTTCCTGGTGCTTGTCTGGTTCTCAGATGGACATGATCAATCTGCGCCCCTGAGACAAGCTTTTCATCCCTGGCCGTTGTGTGGCAGCTCCGAGGCCCAGCAGAGGGTCCCAGAGGACGAACATGTCCACAGCCTTCCGCCAATTCTTTCTCACGACGCGAAGGGGTCTGGGTACTCCTTCTCCTTCCTCCCCCTCCCCGCATCCACCCCTCGCTGGGGGGACAAAAGGCACCGAGAACGTCACTCCCTGGACCTCTCCAGTGGTAAGATCTGATCAGCATTTCGGGGAGAGTCCGGCCGTGGTGACGAGGGTTCTCAAGGACGAGCAGCGTCATTGAAATATTTAAACCCAAAGTTGGAAGGCTTCGTAGAAGGAGGCGGCTTCTTAGAAGGCGCCCGCCCTACATCTATAGACAAAGGCCACGCCTTCTAAGAAGCAGGTGTGCCTCTAAGAAGCCTTCCCCCCGCCCCCTGCCCCCCTCTGCGCGTTGCTGACACTAGAGGCCTCCTAGATGGGGTCTGAAAGAATGGAGTCGGAGGATCTCGCCGCATCGCCGATGCATCAGCGATGCATCGCCGATGCATCGCCGATGCCTCGGCGACGTCGCCGATACATCGGCGCCGTCGGCGTGGACAAAAATCGGGCTCCACATCGAGCCGCATCACAGATCCATCGGCGATGCGGTGCGATCCTCCGACCCCATCTACTCGGACACCATCTGGGAGGCCTAGATCACCCCTCCCCCTGCCTCCGTCTGCGCGTGACTGACAATCCTCGGCCTCCTGTCCCTCCTCGCGAGGCGGGGAGTAAGATGAAGCCATGACGAGGGTAAATTCGGGTGAGGATGAATCGGGAATCTCTGAGATCCGGCGGCTCTGGAGGATATCTCGGGCGCCCTTCTCAGAGCGTTCAGGAACGCTCTGGAGTGGATTCATCCTCGCCCTGCCCCCCCTCTGCGCGTGGCCGACCATTCTCGTGCCTCGCGGGGCGGGGAGGGCGCGAAGAAGCCTTCCCCCCTCCCCCTGCCCTCCCCTCTGCGCGTGGCCGACCATCCTCGGCCTCCTGTCTGGGGAAACCCAAAAGGTACGGATACCGCTACTCCCTGGACCTCTCCTGGGCTGCGTTCTGACAAGGATTTCGAGGCGAATCCAGCAGTGGCGACGAAGAATGCCTAGGAGGCAAAAAAATGGGAAGACGAGGGAAGGGTAGTGGGTACCTTCTCCTCCTCTGACTGTCCCTCCTCCTGCCTCGCGGGGCGGGGGAGGGCGCAGTCCTTGCGCACCGCGCTCTCGCCGTCCTGGCGCCGGCGGGTGCGGCGAGAGGGAGGAGCGCGCACGGGCGGGCAGGAGGCTGGCGCCGGACAAGCGCGGAGGACGCCGGAGGGGTGGCCAGGGAGAGGGCCAGGAGGCTCTGCCTCGTCCTCCTCCATGGCCTCCTCCTCGTTTTCCTGCTCGTCCTCTTCCTCTTCCTCTTCCTCTTTCCTCTTTCCTCTTTCCTCCTCCTCCTCCTCCTCCTCCTCCTCCTCCTCCTCCTCTTCACATGCCCCGCACGCGCGCACTCCCGCGCTCGCGGGGTCCCGCGACCGCTAGCGCGCGGGCTCGGAGGACGCTATGGGAGAGGTGGCCGGGGAGAGGGCCACGAAAGCTCGAACGTTTCACTGCACCGACCTTGCAGACGTGCTGCAGCGGATTTGTGTGTGGATTTCTGTCAATGCAAAACCTGGAGCGGCGAGCGAAACAGGACGAGAATGTCACGTGGTTTGTTTGTGATCTTCGTTGCACGAAATTCATCTCGAAATCCAGAACAGAATTCTCCATTGCAATGCGGGCCCATTCCACTGTTTTCCGAGCAAAATCCGCTCTGCGATGCTGGCGCCCGGAGACGTTCCCAGAGATGCGACGCTCCAAACAAAATTCAAGCGCGGAGCGTGTTGGGCCGCCTTCAGCGCCTGGGGACCCTCGCCGAGCCTCGGGACCGCCAAAAAACGACTCAGGAAGAAACACCGGCCCTATATCGGGGGCGGCCGAGAGGGGTCGTCCAAGAGGGGGGGGCGCAAATCATGGCCGTCGGCATGTGCGCGGCCCAGGGGGGGGTCAGCGACATCTTGAAATAAGAAAAGGCATCATGAAATCTAGAGAGATATCAATGGTGCGGGGGAGGACGATGAGAAGTGGCATCGGGAGAAGGAGGGGAACGGTGGATGCGGACTCCAGGGATGAAGACCCAGAACCGCCGGAGGAGGGACATATCATGCAGAGGTACAAGACACGAGGGGGAGCAGGACCACGAGGACCACACCGAGGGCGGAGCCGCAGCAGACGCAAATGCCGCAAATATGTCCCAGCTAAAATCTCGCTCGGAAGCGGCACCCAGGATGTCCCAAAGCTGCCTCCCAAAGGCCCCCGAGGTACCTCGCCAAACAAACCAAAGAAATATGGAATCTGTCCCAGCCACTGGAATATGCCCCAGGCGTAAGTCTCCGGCCTGGCGTAAGCATGCCAAGGCACCTCGCCTGGCGTAAGCCTATGGAATATGTCTCGGCCAGAAGCCTCGCTCGGCAGTGGAGCGGTGTGCTGCCGTTCCGCCGGGGCGTCCTGGACCTGCCCTCCCCCCCGGCGTGCATCGGCGGCGCGCCGGGGGGGGGGGGAAGGGAGGCAGACGGGGTGGGCCTTCCCGGAAGGCTCCAGGGGCCTCCAGCCTTCTGGGAGGCTCTCGAGGCTCTCTCCGAAGACACACACGACAGCGTCTTCTCAGAAGGCCAGAGAGGTCTCTGAGAGGTCCCGCCGGCCTCTGAGAAGGCCTGCCCCTCTCGCTTCCCCCCTCGGCGCGCCGCCGACGATTGCAGGAAGATGTGGCGCATCTACAACCACCTCGCCTTCGCTCGAGCGTCCACTCCCCGTGCATGTTTTGGCTTCGTGCGTGCGTGTGTGTGTGTGTGTGTGTGCTGTTGCTCGATGATCCAGGGTATTCCTGGATGCCTCGCCGAAAAAATACACACGCCCGAGCGATGCCAGGTTTGCCACCACCACCGAATCAACAAACGCCTGTTGCCAAAGAAGAAACGAGCCTGCAGACGCTCAGTGCCGGTGGAACTGGGCCACCTGTCAAGAGGAAAGCGGGTCCTCTCATCATATTCCTCCCCTCCTCTTCCTCCTCCTTTCCTTCTCCTCCACCTGCTCCTCCTCCTCCTCCTCCTCCTCTCCTCCTCCTCCTCCTCCTCCTCCTCCTCCTCCTCCTCCCCTCTCCTCCTCCTCCTCCTCCTCCTCCTCCTCCTCCTCCTCCCTCCCTCCTCCTCCTCCTCCTCCTCCTCCTCCTCTCCCTCCTCCTCCTCCCCCCACCCTCCTCATCTTCCTCCTCCCCCTCCGCTTCGTCTCCTCCGCCTCATATGGATTCAACCCTTCATCCTCTGCCCTATTCATATCCTCGGCTTGTTGCTGGTTCGAAGAATCTCGCTGCCCCAGAGGAGCCGAAAATGGTAACGAACCCAGAACCCGCCTTCCGTCGGATACGTTGCCTGCCAGCGGTGGATATACGCTCGCTCCCCTCGCTCCAGACCTTCCCCGATGCCCTAAAAGATCAAAGGCCGCCCAGTCAAATACCTGCCGAACGGGCTTGCTCAGCCAGGGGTTCGTCGTGGAATCCAATGGAACTGTTCACGAATGCGACCTCCAGATCCAACAACCTAAAGCCAACACGTATAGGAAGGATGCGCGGTAAGGGTGCAATAGTCCTGAAACCATGTTGTCGTTTTTTGTTCGAACGGGCCTGGTCAGCGAAACTTGCCAATGATGAGCCGAACGGGCAAGGATGTAAGGGCAACCGGGGAAAATGGTTCATCCTCACTAACCCATGCTGGGGGTTAAGAATCTCCTGGGGGCAGCAAACAATCTGGGTCCAAGCGGGATATCATGTTCCCGGGAATATCGATATTAGGATGTCCGGCTCTGCAAAATCGTTCCTCTAAATTCGGCAAAGATTCGAAGCTGTGCGTTTCGCCGGCGACATCCTCATACAAATGATAACACCGATTCGTCATGGTGCTATGCATGAGATGACGATCAGAGCTACGATATGAACTTGGATGGGGGTAATCAAATTCGGCCTCCCCACCTACAGTTGCAATTGAACCACATTCAATGCCGTGGATAAAAATACACAAAAGGTTAGGGGAAAATTCCCAACCCTCCCTTGGTTGGGTACTCGTTTTGGATAGAGCACTCTGGTCGCCCCGTCCTCCCGCCCACTTCCCTCCTGCCTCCTACCTCCTCCTCGCGGCGCCCTCTGGAGGGCTGCGATATGCGCATTTGTCGCCTCCTGCGATCTTGCGCAACTGTCGGCACTTTCGTGGGCTCCTGGGGGGCCCAGCGGAGTGGGGGTTACACGCGGATCGCGCCGAGACCTCGCGGCTCCCTGCGGGGGGAGCTGTGATCTTGCGCAACTGTCGGCACTTTTGTGGGTTCCTGGGGGGCCCAGCGGAAGGGGGGCTACACGCGGATCGCGCCGAGACCTCGCGGCTCCCTGCGGGGGGAGCTGCCAACTGCGCAACTGTCGGCACTTTTGTGGGCTCCTGGGGGGCCCAGCGGAGTGGGGGTTACACGCGGATCGCGTCGGGACCTCGCGGCTCCCTGCGGGGGGAGCTGCCAACTTGCGCAACTGTCGGCACTTTCGTGGGCTCCTGGGAGGCCCAGCGGAATGGGGGTTACACGCGGATCGCGTCGGGACTTCGCGGCTCCCTGCAGGGGGAGCTGCCAACTGCGCAGCTGTCGGCACTTTCGTGGACTCCTGGGAGGCCCAGCGGCGTGGGGTTACACGCGGATCGCGTCGGGACCTCGCGGCTCCCTGCGGGGGGAGCTGCCAACTGCGCAATTGTCGGCACTTTCGTGGGCTCCTGGGAGGCCCAGCGGAGTGGGGTTACACGCGGATCGCGTCGGGACCTCGCGGCTCCCTGCGGGGGGAGCTGCCAACTGCGCAACTGTCGGCACTTTCGTGGGCTCCTGGGAGGCCCAGCGGAGTGGGGTTACACGCGGATCGCGTCGGGACCTCGCGGCTCCCTGCGGGGGGAGCTGCCAACTGCGCAACTGTCGGTACTTTCGTGGGCTCCTGGGAGGCCCAAAGGAAAAATGGTTACACGCTGATCGCGTCGGGACCTCACGGCTCCCTGCGGGGGGAGCTGCGAACTGCGCAATGGCCGGCACTTTCGTGGGCTCCTGGGAGGCCCAGCGGAGTGGGGTTACACGCGGATCGCGTCGGGACCTCGCGGCTCCCTGCGGGGGGAGCTGCCAACTGCGCAACTGTCGGCACTTTCGTGGGCTCCTGGGAGGCCCAGCGGAGTGGGATTACACTCGGATCGCGTCGGGACCTCGCGGTTCCTTGCGGGGGGAACTGCGCAACTGCGGAACTGTCGGTCCTTTCGTGGGCTCCTGGGCCCAGCGGAGTGGGGTTACTCGCGGATCGCGTCGGGACCTCGCGGCTCCCTGCGGGGGGAGCTGCCAACTGCGCAACTGTCGGCAGTTTCGTGGGCTCCTGAGACGCCGAACGATCGCTCCAGGACGTTCAAAGTGGGCCCCAGACGGCCTAAGAGGCTTCCAAGACGCTCCACGAGGCCTCCAAAAGGCTTCATGGGAGGGCCCCGAGCGGCTAAAACCACGAATGTTACGATGGTTTTTGAAAGAGTTTGGCCTCCTCGTCTTTTCGGCTTTCCGGAGCTACAGGACGGCTCAAGAGGCACCCAATACTGCCCCAAGACGGCCCAAGAGGCTTCCCAGAGGGCCCGAAGACTGCCCACGAGGCCCCAAGACGGCCCAAGACAGCCACTCTAGCGAAGAGTGCCGACTATTGGGATTTGCCGGTCCGGTTTCCAACGACGATGTCCAGAGGAATTGCTGTGAGCAGGGCGATTTGGGTGCGACCGAAACAGCAGAATACTACTCTCCTGCTACAACTACAGGCCTGAGCTAAAGCTTTCGGGTCCCAAGCTTCGGCTACAGGCCCAAACCACAGCTACAGGCACATGAGAATGGGGTGCGACGGCAACAGCATAAGACTATTCTCCTGCTACAGCTACAGGCCCGAGCTAAAGCTTTCGGGTCCCAAGCTTCGGCTACAGGCCCAAGCCACAGTTACAGGCCCATGAGAATGGGGTGCGACCGAAACAGCTACGAATCCTCGCAGCGCCGCTCCCTTCACACTGCTGCTCCACAGGGCGTTGATATTTCGAAAGCGAGCGCGGGGTGCGGCCCCTTCTCGAAGCGCGCGGCGCTGTCATTGTGGCCCGAGCGCGCGGCGCTGTTTCTCCGTGGCATGGGAAAGCGCGGAGGGGGGTAAAGAAGGCGCGGCCCTGGTGCAGGCAGTATGTGGACACCAGGATCGAGCGCAGAGCGCTGTTCGCTGATCGGTCGCGCGGTGCCGTCATGTAGCGCAGTGCGCAGCGCTGTCCCTCGAGAGCGCGGGGCGCTGATTCTTCGTTGAACGAAGTACACCGCTTGACCCTCAAGCGCGGCGATTGCCAAAAATGCAATGGGCGTCGCTTTCGTGGGCCTCTTGGACGTCCAGCGGATGTTCAGCTATTTTGAGAGCGCCAGTTGATAATGCCACCTGTTGCCAAAGGGTTGGGTACGTCCCTAGGTAATTCTTTATTTTTCGGGGGTTGGGGTTCTGCGATTTGCCTGTATGTCGGGCCCAGCAAGCACACGCGGCTCGAGGCGGGCCCGTAGCCATTCTTTTCGCTCCGACCAACCTCGACGTCGCACGTCGGCGGCTCATCGTTCCGTGCTTGTGACACCCGGAACGGATATTTCTCCAATATTCGCGCAAGGTTCGCGAAGCTGAGGCGAAGTGTTCGAATAGTCCTGCAGTGGATGGCACCCTGTTATGTTCAAGCTGTTGGACCACGCGGGGGCTAGTCCTCCATGGCGTATTATCAGGAGCGTTGTCGGGCTTTCCCATAAAACAATCAAACAGCTGCTCGGGGCATCTTCCAGTGTTGATGGTGTTGCCTGCGTGCAGGCGTCACCCACTTCAGGGCAATTGTCTTTCACAGCTGCACTGGCATGTCATATTTGTTCTCATCGTTGCCTGGTGGTTTGGTGGCATATTTCACGCCGCTTCTGTTGGTTGCCATAGGTCACCTGTTCCATCAAAACATTGGTTGGGCCCTTGTAGGTCATCATCCACAATGCTGGATCCACCCATCACCGCACGTGGGAGTATTTACTCTCTCAGTTGCGTGAAGTGTTGACTGGAGGCTTCTTATCAAGCGTGCACAACGCCGTTTGCTTCGTCTCTTGTCGGTATCTCGAATCTGGGTTTCAAGCTGTCCACGTTCAGAGGCACTCCAACCGTGGAGTTGAGAGGTGTGCACATGCGGTTTTGCTGCGTGAGCTTGATTGGGCAGTACTATGGGATAGTGCTGCGGTTCACCTCGACAAGCGGTGGGATCTGCTTATCTTCCGTATTGTCAATGCTTCGATCACGTCATCAATACATGCAAATGGTCAACTTCCCATGCCGAACATGCCGAAATCTGTTTATCCATGAAGGCGAAGGCCTTTCCTAAGCTTCAGTTTTAAAGTTGTGGCTTGTGTTTGGTCAAATTCCGATTGACCGGCGTCAGTATACATGGTTTTCAGTGGGCACTCTGGTTTTCAGAGGTGGCAGGCGTTATTCGTGAAAGTGCTTCTCCTGTTTTAGCGCTTATTTTGCCTTGTCGTCCTGTGCGTCTTGAAGGTCAAAAGGGGCGATGCATGCTCGACATCACTACGCGATGGCGGAAATCTTCGAAATCTTGCATGTCGATCCCATTATGGCCGCGGCGGCGTAGAAAACTTGCGCCAACTCAGGCCCAGACGCTTCGCGGCGCCCACCCCAAATGCCCTTCTTGACCCAGTTGGCGGCGCGCACAATGGGGTGGAGGGAGGGGGAGGGCTTCTTAGAAGGAGGCTTCTTCTTAGAAGCCCTAGCCCCTCCCCCCCACCCCCCTCTGCGCATGGCTGAGTGTAAACGAGTGAATGCCAGCTTCGGGCGTTCACCCGCTTACACTCAGCGGGGACGCCCGCACCCTAGGCGGCTGGAAAGTTCACCCCCCCACGGGGCACCGCAGGGGCAAAACTCTGCAGCCGCCACGGGAGCAGGCGTCCACGACGGCGGACAAATTGATTGCGTACTGGTCTTCGCGCCTAAATGTGGTTCTTTCTGTCCTCGGCGTCGCGCCGGGGGGGGGGGTGAGAAGGGTGGGGCCTTCTCAGAAAGCTCGGAAGTCCCCCAGCCTTCTGGGAGGTTTCCTACGAATTTCCCGAAGACGCAAAAACCTTTCAGAAGGCCCGAAGTGTTCTGAAAAGTCCCGCCGCCTTCTGAAAACGCCTTCCCCCCCCCTCGCTCGACGCTGCCCCCGAAGCCCCCCTACCACCTCCGCAAAGACCACTTCTCACCCCGCGCCCACTGTCGAGGGCCCCTGGGGCCCGACAGCGGCCGCGCAGGGCCCCAAACTCAGGGGCGGGGGGCGCCCAAGAAAGGAGCTCGCAAATCTCATGGCCCGAGGCAGCCCGAGGGACGCGCGTGGACCAGGGGCGTCGCGCAACGGGGGGGGCGATACATGGGGGGGAGGAAGGCACACATCGCGAGGACGAGGGGGGGAGGCAATCGAGAAAAGAGATATGATAACCAACAAGAAACAATTCCAACCATAGTACGACATGCAAACCCGCTGGTACTTAGTCCAACCACTCGAGGGGAAATTCCAAACAATCTCCATAAAAAAGCCCGCAGGCGCCTTAAAGGCGTCGTAAATTCGTCTTCGAGGCGTCGCGCCGGCGTCGTAGAAGCGTCGTACTCGAGGCGTCGTGCTGGTGTTTTACGGGGCGTCGTACGGGCGCCTCAGAGCGTCGTACGGGCTGCTTACAGGCGTCGCACGTGCGTCTTAGAGGCATCGCACGGGCGTCTTAGATGCGTCGCACTGGCGTCGTAGACGTGTCGCACGGGCGACCTAAAAACGTTTTACCCGCGTCGTAAGGGCGTATGTGAGGCGCTGTGTGGGCGTCTGAAAGGCGTCGGCCGGGCGTCTTCGGGGCGTCGCGCGGGCGTCTTCGAACGTTGTACGGGCGTCTTAGATGCGTCGTGCGGGCGTCTTGGGGCCGTCTTAGGGGCACCGTACGCGCGCTTTCGGAACGTCGTATGGGCGTCGTAAAAGGCGTCGCGCGGGCGTCTTAGGGGCATCGTCCGGGCGTCTTGGAGACAACGTACGGGCGTCTTAGAGGCGTCGTACGGGCGTCTGGGAGCGTCGCACGGGCGTCTTAAATGCGTTTTCGAGACATCGTCGTGCGGGCGTCTGAGATGCGCCGTACAGCAGTGTTGGGCGACTGCGCGCCTGCGACGGATGAGTGGGATGATGATGAACATGAATGTGGTGATGATGGTGATGGTGATGGCGGTGGTGGTGGTGATGATGATGACGGTGGCCAACATGTGATGCTGATGTTGATGGTGTAGGTGGCGATGGTGATGATGATGCTGATGATGGTGGTGATGATGATGATGGTGATGACGAGCCCGTTAGGCTTCAAAACATTTATTTTCAGACACTCGAACCTTTGAGCCCGTGAGCCCTCAAACCCTTAAGCCTTAAGACATAAACCTTTCAAGGCCTTAAACCCTCAAAGACCTTAACCGTTTGAACCCTTGGATCATTAAGCCCTGACGCCCTGAAACCCTAAAACTCATGAGCACTTTCAAGCTCTAAACCCGTTTACACCTATTTAAACCCTTAAAGCCGCTTAAACGCTGAAGCCCTCAGTCGCTGAAACCCTTTATTCCCCAAGTCGGCTATCCTGGAGGGTTCTGGCTTCGTTCACGAATGGTGTCTCGGGGTGCAACTTTGCCCGTTCCCAGGAGACTCCTGGGGTTCCTCTTCCTCGGCTTCCTCGGCAATGTCACGCACAACGCCCATGCAATAGGACACTTTCCCTGAATTGCGCTCGCGCCGGTCTCATCTCTTATACCTTTTAAACTTGAGTCTGTCGCGGGCGGAAGGTCTGGAGGTGGGCTGGGGCACCACGACGGATGACCATGTATACTCTATCCGGCGCTTGAGCTTCCAACTCCATCTTAGTGACGAACGCCCTTGACGGCCTCCCTCCTTGACGACCCCCCTTGACGGCCTCCCTCTGGGGTGACGAACCCTCGTGACGCCCCTAGTGACGAACACCCTTGACGGCCTCCCTCCTTGACGAACCCCCTTGACGGCCTCCCTCTGGGGTGACGAACCCTCGTGACGCCCCCCCCCCCCCCGAATGGATAAACCCCCTTGGCGGCCCCCTTCGCCGCCCCCTCCGTCTTGACGGACAAAGCGTCGGAGCCGAACTGATGGTTAAAAACGACCTTTATCTTGACGGACCCCATGCCAGGGGCGGAGTTGACGGCTCCTCTCGTCTTGACGAACGAAGAGTTGGAGATGAATTGACGATTGCTGTCGCATTAGCGAACGTAGTGTAGTCTCGGGGCCGACTTAAGGACCGTTGTGGGCGTTTCTCCAGACATGTGACGTCTCAGCCACTGAGTTGGACTCAATTTTAAGCGCTTGAGCTCTGAAGCCCTTAAGCCCTTGAGCCCTTCAACCGTTGAGTCCTGAAGCCTTTTACAACACTCAAGCATTACAGCAATACCTTTGGACAAATCTGGTGCACACTCCAACCCGGGCAATCATTTAAGCTTCTGGAATGAATGTGCGGACGTGCGCAAATTATTCGGTTTTGGAATACCTAAAGTCCACTCAGACTTAGAATCGTACAATGACGTGATGTGGCTGGTTGGACTTACAAGCAGTTTGTCTTTTCGAACCGGCCACTGCTTCACCATCCAAGCGCGCAGGCGAATGCTGAGGTGGCCCCTGCGGGGCCCCCTTGGCACGGGGACGCCCGAGTGGGTCCCCACCCCCATCGCGCAGGGGGACCCTTGGCCTTTGGGGTTCAACACCACAGTCTCGTTGCCACCGTGGCCTGGGCCAGTCCTTTGTTGGGACCGGCCCCAAGGAACTCCAGGGCCCGCCCCCCCCCCTCACCAGCCACCTCTTTGCCGCCCCTGGCTGGCCACGGCGGGCCGCGCAGGGCGGCCGCGGTCGCTCCCCTCCTGCGAGACGTCGTCGCCGAGGAGCCTGTCCCTGGCGCGCGGCGCGGGCCGGAGGGGGAAAAGGGCGCGGCCCGCCGAGAAGGGGAGGACGGGCAGGATGGAGTTTTCCCTCGAAAACCCCCTGAGGCAGAGCGTAACGATGGCCGCCTCAACCCGATCGACGGACGGCGGCTGTGGCGTCCTCTCCCGCGAGCGCGGGCAGCCAGCGCCTACATGCCAGATGTCGGCATTAAACGCGAGACTGAGGCACACGGCTAGCTGATCTCTGCAGACGCAGAGAGTAAGGACAAGGCGGAAGGGGCAGGGAGGAGGAGGAGGTGGAGGAGGAGGAGGAGGATGAAGAGGAGGAGGATGAGGAGGGGGAGGAGCAGGTGAATGAATGAAAGACGACTCTGGGCCCGCATGTCTCCCTGTCCCAGCTGTGCCGAGGCGGACTGAACAGCGTGCGGCAAGCTCGTGTATGTAATGCGTGTAAACCTCGTGGGTATTCAAATGAAACACACAAGCGTGTAATATGTACGAGAGTGCACCCGTCGGACGACTAAAAAAGTCATGAAGTTCAGAAGGGGCCCAGCGGGCCCCGACGGGCCTGAAGGCTGGGCCCCAGGGTCACGCGCACCGACGCGTAAGGCACGAACAGACCCCAGGGAGCAAGGACAGCTAAGGCGTTAGCCCTATTTGCAACGAGTATGGGCCAACAGGGGGGGGCGGACCTCGCGGTAGCGTGAGACTGGTGAGAGGCGACTACGATCCGTCATTAGATGATCACTTCACGCGGTCACCGTCCGATACGTAGCGCAGCGCATTGGGGAGGAGGCCGAAATTGAGGATGAGCCTGCCCCGCGCTGCTGATATGAAAACGAATGCACACAATGGCATTCTCACCTGCTATCTTTTGCGTCTACCGCGTTCTGTAGTATCTCCTCCATTGCGCCCGGTGGCGCCGCGCCCAGAGCCCTGCGCCCGCCGATCTCCTCGAGTGCCTTCTGCAGCAGGCCGCGGACTGTCAAGGGCGAAGGCAACGGCTGCTCGTCTGATTCGGGCGGTACGCTCGGCTGCGCGACGTCCCTCATCATCAGGTGGAGCTTCCTCTTGTTCTGGTCGTAGCACTTCGTGACTCGAAACAGCCGTACCATGTCCTACAGGTCGTGAGGCTGCAGCTCGCACCACACTCTGCCGCGCCAGTCTTTGAGCATCGCGTGTGTCCTCTGCCCCAGCGCGAGCCCACGCTCGAGCAACTTGGTCACGAACCCATTGAATATATGAAGGTGAGGAGGACCGAGCTGGTGGCCTTTGCCTCGGGCTCGGACTTCGTGTGAATACGTCGCCCCTGCCTCCTGTGCGGCCTCGATCTCTGGTAGGTCGGCGGTCAGGAAGTACGTGTCCACTCCCGCTGCCCACAGCTCTCGCACCATCTGGGTCGTCATGAGCGTCTGCTTCACCATGACGTTGATGAAGTTGGCCTGCTTCTTGGTGAACCCCATGTCCTTGATCTGCCCGAGGTGCCGATTGCGCTGCTGCTTGCTGTTGGGCCCGTTGGCCGCGGCCGCGTCGGAGGCGGAGCCTGGGTTGGAGCTCTTGCCGCCCTTTGTCCTTCTGCGGGGGGCCGCCGCCCTTGGCTTGGCCAGCACGGGCGCGCCCTCTGCCTCTGCACCTGGCGGCCGCTTCTCCAACATCCACTTGGGCTTGGGGTTCGCCATCGCCAGCCCGTCGCTCAGGTAAGAAAGGCAGGTGCCTCTCGCAAATGTGATCCTGGAGCTGAGCCAAATCGAAATACGAAGACGTGGCGCACACTGGACAGACAAGCCTGGGGACGACCACGGGATGCAGTGCATGCGCGCTATGAACATCACAAACTCCCCGACGAAAGGCCCGACAGAGGTGAGCCTTCGCGGTCTTCTGGAATGCAAAGGAAGTACGGCACGCTGGACACTGGTTCGTGACGACACATCTGGCATAGTAGGAGAAGTTGCCATGAGAGCCGCCCTGGGTGTGGGTCTGGTGCGCGACGAGAGCAGCATGGGTGAAGAAGCGGGCGCCACAAACGTCTCCATCTTCTGTAGTGCATCTGCAAACGTGCACGCATCCAGAGGGACCCAAGAATTCCTCAATCCCTTCCTGTGAGGCGGAGAGGCAGGGTCCGAAATCGATAGTGTCCAGCTCAGTCTTACCGCTCTGCCAGATCTTGCGCAGAGCAGAAACATCAGCCGCCAGAAACCGATGCGATATGTAGTCGTCATGGAAGAGCGCATGGATGTCCTCGCCCCAGACGGAGCGCCAGTCTTCATAATCAGTTAGTAGCTCGAGCCTGTAAACGTCAGTCACGAAACGAACGGCGAACGGGTTGGCGTGAACGGCGAGGCGGCCCTCGGACAAGGTGGGGGCATTCTCGAAGCCGAGGCGACCGAAGAGGAGGCTGATGACCTGGGAATGTTCTTCGGGCCATTTAACCATGGCCTGGTACCACCGAAGTCTCTGAACCAACAACTCGACCCCAGACGGAACAATATTCATCCATTTCCAGACCTCCCGAGAGTCCTTTATGATGGGATGGTCTCCAGAACGGTCACACAAAGCCCCCGCAGCAATACATCGGATTTTGCCCAAGAGCGCGATGTCCAGCTGGGCCTCTTGGGAGCTCGTGAGGAGATACGGGGTAAGTCCAGACAAAAGCGCACCTTGCACCACAGATATGAATACTAGCCTCTTCACCTTAAATGGGGCCCCCGAGGTCCACAAGTACTTAAAAGACATCCACCCCCTGTTGGCCGCTACTTTACTCAGTGCAAGCTGGTGGGAGAAGGCGCCAGAGGGCAAAAACTGCGGCCCCAAGTACCTGGTGTGCGGGGCCACACGGGCCCCCCCGACCTCCGCCGCATAAAACTGGCGAGTGGCCTTGTATCCACAAAGGCGGGGGACCAAAACTTGTTTCGACGTGTTTTGCTTGTATCCGTACGCAGCCAGGGCATTGCCGAGCTTCGTCTGGGCGTCGCGCGCTGTGGCGACGGCCTCGGAAAGTGCCCCCTCCTGGAGTAGCAAAAAGTACGCCAGGTCGTCCACGCATGTGAAGAGGCCCGCATAGACCTCGCGCCCGAAAACGGGGCACGACGCGCACAAAGCAGGGTCCTGAAAATGGGCGAGCCACTCCTGGAGGGGGCGAGCAAAATCAACTCGAAATTCGTCGGGCGCACTGGGGTCCCCCATCAAGGCCCCGCTTTGGAGGTGGAGGGTAGTGGGTCGATCTACGCCCTCGAGGTGAAGAAGGTGCGTGGTGCGCCTGTCGCTGAGCAGGTCAACATCCCCTGCTGGCAAATACTCTAAAAGTCCTTGATTCATGCGCTTGTGCTCGCAACAACCGAAAGCGTTCTTCATGTCATCGAAAACAGCAATGTGCCACACGCGTCCGCTACGCAAACGATCCGCCAAGATGTGTGTGCCCAATATAGCATTCTCTCGCCTGCGCCGAGGGATGCAACCGTGGTCATACTCGGCAGGCGCAGCGTGTGGGACCGCCCTGTAGATGCCCCTGGCGATCGCTCTAAAGAAGGGGCAGAGGCCGTGCAGAAACCGGGTGCCGCCGTCAGGTTCGGGAGTCTGCCATCCGAGAGAGAACCCCGCACACGTAGGAAACCTCCCCACCGCCCGCCAACACGTGGCTAGACTTCCCAAACCTTTCTTGATGGCCTCTACCTCAGGGGGCTCGGGCTTTCCGCCAACTCCGAAGGGAGAAATACGTGGCTTACTATAATACTTGGGCAGGAGAAGCATAAGCCAAATCTCGCCAGGAAGAGACCAGGCAGGGACGGAACGTCTGCGCGAAGCCTTGCGGAGCACCCACGAAGCTCTGCGAAGGTCTCTGGCTCCCAACTCCCCCGCCGAGTCCCGCTCACCCATCCCTTGAGGAGCCAAAGAAGCCCGCAACAGTAACAAATTGTCTAACTGGACTGGGACCGCAGAGAGACCGCCCTCCGAACCAGGAAGGCCCAGGGTGCCCGCGAGCTCATCAGCCGATGCAACGTGCCTGCGCACCGCCGCGTAGCTACGCCGTTTGGGTCCCAGTCCAGTGCCCGCCAATCTACGAGAGAAGTATTGCACGCTGGCGAGATCACGCTTGCGCCAGGCCTCATGTATGCCTTCAGTCCAGGTCCTACGCAGGGATCGCGCCCACCGTCGGACCCCCCACCTGATGCGATTCGTGAGGTCGCGGATCTGAAAATCGTAGTGGCAGCGGGGGAGGCCCATGGCGCGCAGCGCAGCACGCCCACGGAGAAGGCGACGCACCTGGAGCCGGTGTTGCGCCAGCTCGGTGCCTGGGGTCCGCCTGGCCCTGCCGAAGCGCTTCTTGGCGATCGGCGCCAGCGCGTCCATGAAAGAAGCGTAGCCCGCGTCGATCATGTTGTTCTCGAAGTACCCCAGGTACGAGGGCGCCGCGCGCTGCAGGGCCAGGTTGGCTTCTTCCAGGAACCCCTCACGCAGGCCTGGCGTCTGCAGCGCGGTCTCGATGGCATCGAAGTTCCAGGAAGCCGAGATCTGCGAAGACTGCAAGCTCGGGACGCCCAGGTCCGCCTCCAGGAGCACTGGGGAGCGGTCTCGCAGTATCCCTTTGGAGGGGTAGAGCTGGAGCTGCCTGGCCGCCTTAGTCATGGTGATCAGCTTTGACACTCGCGGCAGGGCTCCAGCAGGCAGGGCGAAGTGGTCGATCCAAGTAGACGACTTCTCGCCATTGTACGTAGGAGCAATCTTGTAGAAGGTGGTAGCACAAGCGAAATGGTGTCGGTGCAGCACTTCACGGAGCCCGCGAGCCGCGTAGCCCATGCGTGCCTGCACGTAGGGCCCGATGCAACTGAAAGAGCAGCTGGTCTCGTCCACCGCGAACGAGTCATTCAGGTCCGTGAAGATGATTGGGGTGGAGCGCTCGGGGGTGGTGTCCAGCAGTCCGTTCAGCCACTCGAGGAGCACGTCGACCGTGCGCCGCCAGGTGGCCGTCCCCGATCGCGGGCCAGGCGGCGGGAAGTAGAGCGCGATGGCAGTGACATCAAGCGAACCAGTGACCACGCGCACCATCCCAGCTCGGCCCAGCGCAGCGGAAGGCCCAGGCAGCACGCGGTGCACGCGCAGCCCCAGGTCTCGGCGTCGTACTCCGATGGTGACACCCGCAGCTCTGTTGGTGAAGGGCCCCCTGCCGTAGCCGAAGTGGTAGTAGTCGTGGTCTCCGATCTGCGCCTGCCGTCGCACCGCCTCCGTCGGCACCGCTCGCAGGCGGGTGCCCAGCAAGAAGTGGAAAGGGAAGCCTCGCGCCAGG